GCCCGCCCGCCTCCCCACCGGGGCACCCCCGGGAGCCGCAGCGCCGCCGGGGCAGCGGGCAGGAGGTGGCGGCGGGCCCCGCGCCGGTACCTGCTGAGCCGGCGGCCCCCGCGGCCCGGCCCGGCGCCGTCGGGAGCGCGGGGCAGCGCCCGCCGCTGCGGAGCCATCGCGCCTCCTCCGCCTCCAGCGATGCGCTCGGCGCGCCGCGCCCCGGCCTGCCGGCCTGCCTCACCGGGGAACGCGCTGGGCTGCCGAGAGTGAGGGGAAGGAGCCAGCGCAGAGCCGGGAGCGGCGGCACCGGGACGGGGGGACAGAAGGACAACGGCACAACGGGACAGCCGGGCGCGGGCGGGCAGCGCCGGGAGAGCGGGGCAGGGGCGGCGGGGCGCGGCCGGGCGGGGTGCGCAGGGACAGGCCGGGCGGGGTGTGCCGGGGAGACAGGCCAAAGCAATCGAGGCCAGAGCATGTGGCGGCGCCTGGTGCACCTGGACCTGAAGGGCGCCGCGCCGCGCGTGGAGTACCTGGAGCAGGTGAGGGGAACGGGAGGGAGGGGAGGGATGTGCCTGGAGCAGGGGAGGGGAACCGGAGGGAGGGGAGGGATGTGCCGGGGGCAGGGGAGGGGTGAACGTGAGGGAGGTGAGGGATGTGCCTGGAGCAGGTGAGGGATGTGCCGGGGGCAGGTGAGGGGTGTGCCTGGCACAAGTAAGGGATGTATTGGGATTAGGCGAGGGATGTCCTAGACTCAGGTGAAGGATGTGTCTGGTATGGGTGAAGGATTTATTTGGCTCAGGTGAAGGATTTATTTGGCTCAGGTGAGGGATGTGTCTGGTATGGGTGAAGGATTTATTTGGCTCAGGTGAAGGATTTATTGGGCTCAGGTGAGGGATGTGTCTGGTGTGGGTGAAGAATTTATTTGGCTCAGGTGAAGGATGTATCTGGTATGGGTGAAGGAGTTATTTGGCTCAGGTGAAGGATTTATTGGGCTCAGGTGAGGGATGTGTCTGGTATGGGTGAAGGATTTATTGGGCTCAGGTGAGGGATATACCAGGTGCAGGTGACAGGGGCACAGGATGGTGGCACTGGTCACAGCCCAGCTGCATCCCCATGTCCCCTCCCTTCCTCCTCAGGTGCTGCCACTGCTCCGTGCCCTGGGTGCCACCGGGCTGCTGCTGGAATATGAGGACACCTTCCCGTACACGGGGCCGCTGGAGCTGCTGCAGGCCCCCCACGCCTACAGGTAGTGCCAGGTACCCCGCAGGCAGCTCCAGGTGCCCGCAGGTGCCCCGGGCCGTGCCCAGCGGGCACTGACAGGTCGCTCTCCCGCAGCCCCGAGGAGCTGCGGGCGCTGCTGAGCCGGGCGCGGGCGCAGGGCCTGGACGTGGTGCCGCTGGTGCAGAGCTTCGGGCACATGGAGGTGAGCTGGGTGTGCTGAGCCAGCAGTGCCCGGGGGGGCAGTGGGGCTGGGGGGTCACGGGGTGCAGTAGGAAGAGCGTTGGCAGCAGGGCAGGGAGTGATCATGCCCCTCTGCTCAGCCCTGGTGACATCCGGAGGAGTGTGTCCAGCTCTGGGCAGAAACCACAGCCAGGAAGTTCCACCTGGACGTGAGGAAGAACTTCTTCCCTGTGCAGTGACCCAGCCCTGAGCAGGTTGTCCAGAGAGCATGTGGAGATTCCTTACTGGGGATATTCCAGAGGCCTCTGGACACAACCCTGTGCTCTGGAATGGCCCTGCTGAAGCAAAGAAGTGGGACCAGATGAGCCACTGTGCTGCCTTCCAGCCTGACCCATTCTGGAATTTTTCTGCTGGAAATTTCCAATCCAAGTCCCAGTGCTCTGGTTACCCAGCTCTGCCAGCTGCAGGATTTGACATCAGGGTCACACTGTAGTGACCTCCCTGTTTCCTTCACCCACCCTGTGAAGAACTTCGTGGTCAGAGACCCCCCAGCAGCGTGGAGCAGCAGCTGTGCCCCCAGCCTGTCCCTGGGGCTCAGCCAAGCCAAACCCTGGGTTTAGCAGGACACCTGCCCTCAGAGCCTTGGGGACAGGAGGACGCTGCTGTCCCCTGGTGTGGCAGCTGTCCCTGAGCTCCCGTTTCCTTTGCAGTTTGTGCTGAAGCACAGGGAGTTTGCCCATCTGCGGGAGGTGAAGGCGCTGCCCAACGCCCTGAACCCGCACAAGGAGGAGTCACTGGCACTGGTCAAAGCCATGATTGACCAGGTCATGGCCCTGCACGAGGACTTGCGGTGGTTTCACATCGGATGTGATGAGGTGGGACTTCTCTTGAGCTGGGAATGTTTCTTTTCTTTTGAGGAATGATAGGAAGGGCTGAGGTTTCTGTATTTTAGTGGTGCCCAGACCACGTTTGGGTGGGATTTTGGGGAGAGAAAACACCACTCGAGCCAGTGTAGAAAAGTTTTTTTTTTATAATGAATGATTCCAGTAGCATATGCTGTCATTTCCATAGATATGAGTGCAATATCAAAGCATTGAAAGCAGCTTCTTAAAGCTAACAGCATTTGAGTTTAGGTCAAGTGAATGTTTGTAGTGGGATATCAATTAGAGCTGTTCATTAGGAATCTGATAAGTTTGGTGTAAGATACTGGCTCATTGTTCTAGGCAAGTTACTCAAGTAAACCCTTCTGTGGTTGGAAGTGTTGGGTTTTTTACCTTGGTAGTTTGTGTCCTTGAGAAGGAGAAGACAGACTCAAGTTTCTCTTTCTCATAGCTTCTTAAAACTATCCTGATAGCACAAGATTCCTGTAATTCATTAACTGTACTGATATTAGTTTAACATTTTGTCTCCTGTTGTGTTGAAACTGGTGGGAAGGCTAGACAGGGAGCTGTTATAAAGCAAAATAATATTTATGTAGAATAAATAAAACCTTCTCTAAACCAGCAAATTTTAATTCACTCTCCGCATGGGACCAAGTATGCTGGGCCACCCTTGGACATGGCCCCAGGTTACTTCTAGACTCACATTTGGATGATCCTCCCCAAGCTAGAAACCTCATTTTATCTACCTCAGGTCCCCATGGGTTGCTGGATTTGAAATGAATCAGTGTGGTGAGAGCTACTTCCAAGGACAAACATTCCAAAGGCAAATAGGGCATATAGATATTTTAGTTTCTGTAGGAAAATTCCCTCAAGTGATGCATGTAAACATGGCCACAGTCCCCTGCAGACTGATGGAAATGCTTGCAGTGTCTTCAGTACTGAGAGGTGCTTTTGAACGTGTCCACTCAGTGGATCACTTCTGGACAAAGATTTGACTATTGTCTCCTCACTTTCTCTGTTTCTATGCAAGAAATCAGGATGATTTGCTTGGTGTTTCAGGTCTACTACCTTGGCGAAGGAGAGGAGTCAAAGCAGTGGCTGCAGCAGCAAAACAACACTCCAGAGAAGCTGTGCTTATCCCACATAAAAGCAGTTGCCACTTGTTTGGCCTGGTCTTACCCCATGGTGACACCCATCGTGTGGGACGACATGCTCAGGGGGATGAGTGAGGAAACACTGGCAGGTGTGTGACCAGCCACGGGGTGAGGCAGGTTTACAAAGATAAAACAGATTGGTTGGCAGCTGAATGTAATGAAAACAACGAATCTGGCAAGAGTTGAGATGTTGTTTGACTAGAGAATAGAAGCACTCAGTCCATGATTTAGAAGAGCTCTGTTCCTTTCAGAGTCCGGGGTCCCACAGCTGGTGCAGCCCATGATCTGGGACTATGCAGCAGACATCGACGTGGTAGGCAAAGGTTTGTACTTCTCTGCTGAGCTGTGTAAAGCAAAATAGCCAAAGCAAAATTCTGTCATTAAATCCTGCCTTAGCTGGACACCAAAACATTCTGGTTTTGTTGAATTGTTTTTTATTGCCTTAATAGCATAAAGACAGCCCTTATTTGATTTCACGTCATAACTGCTATTACTTATTTTCTTTTTCTATTTATGCTTCCCCTATGAATGACTTGCATTGTAGGCTGCTTAATTCTTTTTAGCAGACCTATGGTATCACTGATAGGAGATTCAGAGGTTTCCCACAAGCACTGTTATATTAATTCTCCTTGCATTAACACCAGTAGCAGCACATAACTCTGTATTGAACAGCTCTGCAAAAGAGGCTGCAGGGCTTCATACATCTATAGAATTCAGAGAGAAGCTCCTATAGGCTCCTGTCAGGCATCTAACATTCATGCAAATATTTCTTTGTTACCAGAACAATCAGCTGTCAGATGCTGTGCATGCTTGTTACAATCTCACAGCCTTTAGCATGGTAGCAATACAAGGGAGTGGAGTACAGTAACTGACACACGAAAATAGCAGGACAGCCACTCAAAAGACTGCTCAGAGAGGGTGTCAAATCCCCCCTCCTTGCTGATGCTCCAAGCCTGAAAAGGCTCAGCAGCCTGTTGGATCTGGAGCTGTGTTCCCTTCACTGCAGCATTGCAGTGGAGGCTGAAACTGGAGAAGGCTCATCCTGTGCGTGTCCCTTTGTGTCTCCCCGCAGTGCAGCTCGTAGAGAAGTACCGCAGGTGTGGCTTCTCCAAGGTGTGGTTTGCAAGTGCCTTCAAGGGAGCCACGGGGGTGAATCAGTCTCTCACACTGATTGGGCACCACCTCAGGAACCAGCTGGAGTGGCTGCAGGTGGCCAGCAGGAGCCCTGCTGATGTCCTCGAAGGTATCGCGCTGACCGGCTGGCAGAGGTGAGGAGCAGCTCTGTGTGCTTCCGAGGGTCACACGTGAGCAAACTTCCACCCTAAAGCTCCCTAAGAGGTACAGGGAAGCTGGGGATTCAGAAGGGAACTCTGCCACCCTGCAGTTCTTGCTGTCACTGCTGGGCCTTGTCCCCTGACTATGAAGGGTGGGTTTCAGAGTTCAGGTAGCTGCACAGCACTAGCCAGCAGGACAATGGCTTTGGGGACACCACCACCAGCAGAAGGCTTGAATGGATCTTGTGTCACTTGAACTGCTCACAGACGCTGTAGTTCATGCATGGTGTGTCTATCTGAATGCCTGATGGGAACTCAAAAACTATGAAATTACATAAGAGATGAGAATTTGTTAACGTAATGAAGGAGTAAAACATTTTTTTGCAGTCAGGAAGTCTTAGGGAATACCAGAGAGCTGATGTCCAATTTCTGACCTAATTTGCCTCGAGTAGAGAATTTGGCTTTGATCTGTTCTTACTAGTAAAACAGGAATACTTCACATTTCAGAGATAAGTGATCTCTTTGCTGAGACAGAAACTCTTTGAATTTTAGTGATTGACATATTCAAATTTTCCACTTGTTAGTCTGCTCTAACAGTAAAATGTGTAATTAATGGATGTTTTCTTACATAGGTATGATCACTTCTCTGTTTTGTGTGAGCTTCTCCCTGTGGGAATTCCATCCCTGGCCGTGTGTCTGCAGGCACTAAAGAATGGTACAATGACAACTTTTTCTCTCTCAGATAATGCCTAGCACAGGAGTGAAGTGGCCTTCCCCTAAGATTGCCAGAGGCTTGTTGTATTTTGAGATGGTTTGCTGAATTGATCATGGCCTGAATTATGAACAATAAATTACAATTTGCAGTATGGGAGCAGAGAAGCCTTTTGGCCTAAGTATTTTAAAATAGCCGTTGTATCCTCTTCATTTATTGTGATCTAACACAAAAATGGTCAAAAACTTCATGCCTATAGTAAAGAATAAATTTAAGATGAGGAATTGCTTTCCAAACTTACTTAAAACAATAGTGATATATAAATGAGCCTAATTTAGTTTAGATTTAGAATGTGCTCATATGTAAAAGTTGTTTTAACTAATTGTTTTTTCTTAAAATGGATCTAGGGAGGACACTGTCTGATAAAATACCTCCTGTAGTTTCTGCTTTCTTTACAGGCAGTTGCCAACAATATTTTTCTTATTTTCAAAATAAACCCCCACAATCCACTGATTTTTAATTGAGGCACTAAAAATACTCAGCACCCTGAACAGAAAGTTTAGGAAGTGCTCACCCTTGCACAAGACAACTGTGTGAAAGACACTGAGCTGCTCCTCCCACCCACAAGTGTTTTTTCCTTCTTTTATTTCCATTTTACCTTTTAAAAAATCCTTCACCAAAGGGGAACTACTAAGTCAAGGCAGAATACTCCAGAAAAACATTGTATGAACATTTTGGTTCCTTAGGCTCCTTTCCTCATTCCCACTATCTTCTGCCAGGTGGCTATTCTGAAAAGATTAAAGAAAATGTGGAAAATCTCCTGGGAATACCTAACCTGGAAATTGATAGTTTCATGAGGTAACATTGCAGCTGCAGAATTCAGGTGCTTCTCTTTGTGTGGTAAGTTCAGAAACTAACAGATCCTCTTTGGACAGCCCAAGTCTGGGGACGTTTCCTGGGAGCAATGTCCTCACCCTTGTGACGCAAATCAGTTTCCACCTCAAGTCATCAGTGGATGAACTTCTGGAAAGGAACAGGTAATGAGGTTTCTGTTGATTCTCTGCCGGGCTTTAGGAGTGTTAGAACTGTATCATCTCAAAGTGGGGCACAACTCCAAAAAGTGATTTAAATATCAAGGTGTCACTGACACCTAGGCAGAACATACTTACATCAAAATTTAAAATACTTTAGCAAAGTTTCTGAATACTATATGCTGCCTTATTTGAAGCATATAGTTCTTTCTTTAGTTACATTTTACTGCTATTTAAAGTTAAAATGAAAATTTATAATGGTGTAGATAAAAAAGAAAGGAGCTTGAAATAAAACATACTGCAGCAGATGATTAAGTGATCAAGTTTCACAAGCTAATTCCAAAGATCTATAGACTGAAATAAACTCACTCCTTAAGCATCATCTCTGTGCAGGAGTTCAGCTAAAGCCTGGCAGTGACAAACAGATGGTGCTGCTGTTTGATCACTGCTCCCACCAACATCCATTTTCAGGTATGTCACAGGCTGGTTTAGCCCCTACCACAGGAAAAAGAAGATTATTCATCCTATTGTACTGCACCACTTCCAGCCAGATGCAGTCAGGTAACCACACTTGTTTTGCACTACAGGGGAAATAAAGTCTGATATATTTTGGGCACTCAGGTACAGAGAACTGTGAGCCCTTACCTCTTTCTATAATTATCTCAGAAACATCAGTGAGAATCAGATAAAGTATCCATAATATGTTTTTACACAACATGTTTGGGTTGGAACTAGATGATCTTCACAGTTGCCTTCCAACACAACCATTCTGTGATTCTAATTTTACCTTTGCCTTCTGTTGAATGAATTCTTTGAGAACAAATACAAAACTGGTCTCCAAAAGCTTCTCCCTTGTTATTCCTATATGGCCCTGCTGCACCTCAAGCAGTGGTTGGCCTTGGTGCAGGAGCTCACCCTGGGCCAGATTGCAGGCAGGGCTTGGAATAAAGCCAGGCCCTTCCCCTTGCTCTGGGCTTTTCAGAACTTGTCCTAGACATTTTGCCAATTCATGCTAAAAGATTCATTTACACTTCTTTGCTTTGTTTTGGTTTTTTCCTTCTGTGATAAGGTGAATATCCAACCTCATCTATTCTTTCTGATAAAACCCAGAATGAAATTCCCAACAAGTCTCATAGTGGGTTTCAGTTACACTTAAAATATGTGTAGTGTTTTTTTCAGCTCACATTTTGATACTTTAAAAGTCTTTGCATGAGGAAAGTGCCAAGATTAATGGAACTTAAACAGAAATGGCATCAAGCTTTTGCCATCTGAACAAAATCAAGTCCTTTGGGCTCTTGTAATAGATGCTTCTTTTCCTGTAAAGTGGTTTTAGGACAGTACTCCCTTCCGAAGGCCAGTAAGCCAACCCTCCCCTGAGGCAAAGCTCACCTGCAAATGTCATTGTTTCTTCCTTCTCACTTCTGCTCAGTCTCTTCTCCAAGTGGAATGCTGTGGTGCAAGACCTGCAAGCAGCCATGGAGCAAGTTTTCCACAGGTGTGCTATAGAGGAATGGATGGAGGAGAATGTCCACCCCAGCCTACAGAAGCTGCAGCAGGTGCTGGATGATTTAGAGGAAGCAATAAGAGCACAAAATTAGGGGCATTTCAATTAGTCTGACTCACTCCCTGGGAAAACATGACTACTGTTGGCTAGCCCTTGAGCTGGAGTTTGTCATCTTGAGAGTAGAAGCATGAACTGTGGTTAAACAAAAGTGACCTGAAGGCATTAAGGAATTTATTAGCATAAAACACTTCCATTTTCCTGTCTTAACACATGCTAAGCCTTAATTCACCTGCCTGGAAGTCAGGTATTAATAAGAGAATGCAGGAGTGAGTCACAGCTCACTCTCCTACAAGGCAGGAGAAAACCCAGTTTCTTCCAAATTCAGAATTTGTAGCAACAGACTCTTACATAACAATGACCTGGGAAAGCTCTGCCCTAATATTTAGGATACTTTAAAAATGTTTGGGTCATTATGTTCTGTACCATAACTCCTTCACCTGTCAGCTGTGCTCTGAGTTGTGTCCCACCATTCCATCAAGGGGAATCAGGAGCTCCTCCTGGGCTTGGAGGGAAGATGCCTTAACACATTGGGCTGCTTCACTTTCTGCCAGAGCACCACCAAAGCTCAGCTGGTGCCATCCCCACAGAAAAGCACCACCCCACTCACTGAGGCATCTGTTTAGCTGTGTGCAACCTGAAAATGCAACCTGCACTTTCCAGCTCTGTCCCAATTTGAGCCATGACTAAAGCTACTAAATATAAGGAAAAAAATGCTGGTTTAGTCTGCTTTAAATGTCAAACTTGTCATAATGTATAGAAATGTATTTTGGGGATTTTTGGTGATTATCCAAATTCTCCACTAAATGGAAATAATTCAGAAGTATGGTAGTTAAGTATGTTACTCCAGCATGAATATTCAAAATATTTATTTTTGTGCTTCATTTATTCCTTTCTTTAATTTTTTTGAAGCACTGGTGTTGAAATTTTCTTGGAACAAAACATACAAAAAGTAAAACTACAGCATAAGACAAGCTTCAAGTGATTCAATGAGAGCCTCAGTCACTAGAAATGCAAATCTTTATCTAAAAGGAACCAATTGCTCTGTATACCTGTCACATAGCTTGAACTAAACAAGATCTTAATTTATTTTACTTGAATAAAACCTTTGATACTCAAAGTGTTTGTAGAAGGGTGCAGCTTTTTGTATGTGTAGCATGTTGGTTTGGTTTGAAGGAGGGAAAATGGAAATATTCACCAATAGAAAATTGGATCCATCAGCTTATATGGAAATGAAATCTGGACTGCTGCAAGAATGTTGGCAGGGTCATTTCTAAGCAGGTATTTGGGCTTATTCTATTATTCTTCCTCCCCCTCATTAACTCCTTCAGTAGATGTGTTCCCAGTAATAATTTAGACAGCCATTAATATTTTAATAATTTTAATTAAAAACAATACAAAATACTACAGCAATGCAAAACAAGTTATCAAAGTTGATTCTATCAATGAACGTTTTTTTTAAAAAAAGACAATACAACAAGGCCTTGCTGAAATTCTACTTGCAATTTTAAAGTTAAAAAAAAAGGCATTTTCCAGAAATATTTTTGTCTCAGCCATCTATGACACTGGCAGAACTAGCACTCTTTATTTATTATGTGAGCCAGCTGAGGTTTTATTATCTGTGTAACTTCATAAATACAGCCCAAGAGTCAGGTCTCGGGTATAAATATGTGGATTTTCTTTGAGACCTGCACAGTTGATGCCAGATATGGGATATTTCATTGTGAAGTACTGAAGTACGAGGTTACACAAGGGTTACACAAAGCAGTGCTCTCCCTCTGCACAGATGCACTTGGCTTTTGCTCACTGCAGCAGCCCCAGTCCCATGCCACCACAGCCATGCATGGAAGTGCCACTGAGCTGCCCAAGCATGAGCTGAAGCTGCCAAGTGGCACTCAGCAAACAGTTACAGTGAAGGACATGACAGAAGGGCTGGTTTAGGGGTCAGGGTGTTAGAGCTGACCTAAGGTCTGCTATGCAGCTTTTAAAATCAGTAAGTCATGCAAACTACAGCTGTCCAGGCACAAGTGTCCAGACAGCCTGAGATGCAAAGGTTAATGACTACATCTGTGAGAGTCTCCCAGGAGTTCCTAATTTCCTAACCAAAACGAGTCTTTCAAGTCATTCCTTTGAGTCCAAGTCACTTCACAGCAGGCACAGGTAAGAATCTGTTTACTGGGCCTTTGACTTTGCTGGGCCCAAAACCATCCAGGAAAGCCTTCAGCAGAATGGTGAGAAGTGGCAGAAAAGGAGGATGAGAGAGGACTCATCCAAAAAGGGAAGAGTGAACCCTGTCCTGAGCTGCACCTGCTTTCCACAGTTCTGCAAGCTGATCCCCTTGCTGAGGAGTGCACAGACATTGCCATAACCAAATCCATGAGAACAGCAATTTCAAGTTGATTGTACATGCACACAGTTACTGCACTGCACCTGGCCATGTCTTCCAGCTAAAAATGTTAACGTTTTGGAGCGCAAGAAGCTCCACATGTGGATGAAGAGAAACACAAGAGAAAACCCCATCAGCCTGTGCTAACGCTGGTGCAGTGTCCCACTGGCAGGCTCAGATGGATCAGTGCCACAGGAAGCTCCTGGGTGGATCAGCCAGCACAGGCAGCACCCACAGCCTGCCAGAATGTTCTCAGGACCCCATCCTGCTAGCTCAGGCTACAGAACACAGGTTCCCACTGAAACTAGACTTGTTGGTACAGTGACAGCTGCCAAATCCAAAATGGAAATGGCACAAGAGAGGATGGCACCAGCTGCTCCAAGGGAAAGGCTGAGGAGTCAAAATATTCCTCCTAGACACAATGTGCATGGCAGCAGCCATCCCTCTCCTGCCCAATACAGCAGGATAATGAGGATACTGGAAAACACCTCTAAAGAGGTGATCCCTGACATCAACTCAACATGCAACTTAGTCCCACAGGATGTTTTTCAACTATATGTCATTCCCCTTTCTATAGATTTTCAATTTTCCTTATATTGTTTTAGTCTTTGTCTAAGATATTGCATAGTCTGTAAGTGGAGACATGACTAACACCATGAATGCACAGCAAGCTGCATACACTACAGCTCAGCAGAAGCAGGACACAGGATGCAAATGCAGGGTCAGACCAACAGATGCACCTCTCAAAAGCTGATTTTTAACTGGGGAACTACAGCGTGGTTTATGTCTTCCATGGAATGTCAGCTCTCATGGGAATACAAACGAAAGCCAGCAGAGCTGAAACTGAAGGCAGGTAGTTTTGTCTGGTTTATCACACACCATGAATGCTCTCTGAACATCTTTGATACAAAGCAGCAGCTACCACAGGCTGAGCCCTGATGCTTACACTGTACCATTACATACTCTAGGACAGTACTTCCTACTGGAAGTCCTTAGAACACTCACTGTTCTCATTTTACACTGTGGGGGGAAAAGAGCTCTCCAAATCCCCAGTCTCATTCTCCTCTCTCTAAAATGAGCATCACCTGGGGTATACATTACAGTGGATTTAAACGAGGAAGGAGGAACTCTACACCCTGCAACATTTTTTTAAACAGGTTTGATGATTATACTTAGCCTACAGCTGTGCTGGAGAAAAAGGCAAATTTAGCTAATTGCCTGCAACCTACTTTTTCCACATTCATACACAGCAGCTTCCCAGTTCTGGTGGTGTGGGGTAGGCACCAAAAGCCCCACAATTACCCCAACTGAGAGGACTTTCAGGAACGTGTACTGGCAGAGGTCTGTACAGATACCTGACATGATTACAAGTTTTTTATCTTATTTAAAGGAAACAGAACTAGTTCTGTACTGCAGGCAAGCTACATCAACAGCCACGTCCCTGCTGCAGTGTGAGTACCTTCCACTGACAACAGCAGGCTCTGCCTCTGCTCACATCCTGGGTCCGAACAGCTGGAAGGGAAATCTTTGATGAGCAGGTGCTCAGCTGCAGACCAAACTGGAACACACAACAGGATGTGCCTTCTACCAAAAACTTTTCAGAGCCTTCTCTCTGTAGAGGTAGAGTGATTGGAAACAAGAACACAGGCTCTTTTAAATTCTGAAGAAGCTGCTGCCAGGAGACATTTGCTGCTGGCGAACTGTGAAAGCAGACAACACAGTTACCTAGTACCCTGTTCAGATCTCCTAGATGTAACTGTGTAAATATTTTCTAAATCAGACCATAAGATTCCTAAATAAAACCTAGTGAACTTCAGTACAAGCAGCTATAGCATGCTGAAGGAACTTGCAGCTTTTTACAATTTTTTCTTGTACTGACATGTTAATGTAAGCATGATGGAGTTCTAGACAGAATATGCTGACTAACAGAGGTAGCTTTTACTTTAGAAATACCTTGAAAAAATTTATATTTTAACTATTTGTGAAACCATTGGTCAAAACAGAGGACACCACACACCTGGAGTAAAACACAGGTACAAGTCAGACATTCAATCTATGCTACCTACCTTAAAAAAAGTTATTTAGCACTTCGGTATCATTTCAAGTAAGGAAATACTCAACAATTCTAAGCTACCACCTTGTTTGACATCAGTCTTTTCCCTACCTAAAGTTACACATGTCCCTGCTTCCCTTCTAAATACACAGTTTAAATGGTAAACATTGAGGTCTAGAAAAACATTGCTCTGTCCTACCCAGAAGTTAAGCAGAACAGAATTAAGGTAGAACATCCCAAAGACATTTCACCATGATCACTTTTCCTTTGCTATTTATGTCTCCTTGGTGAGTCTGAGATAAGTTAAGACACTGTTACAAGTTGATCAACCTAATGTTTAAAATTCCAAGAGAGGCACTCAGACTTCAATTTCCACATATATCCAATGGCAAGTCAGTAGTAGAGAACATAAAAGTGCCACTACTCTGCATCTCCTAATTGCATATATTAAAGGGGAAGCCTCAAAGCATTGTGTTTTGAGTTACAAATTCTACTCTTCTACATTTCATATACTGTACCTGCAGCAAATGTTTACAGTAAGCAGAAGTTTACATCTGTATCTTCATTAATGGAAAAGCAATTATTTCAAACCAATTCATTAATAAATAACTATTCCTAGACAGGTTTATGAGGTGACAAAAGTTCAAAAGCCAGCAGTGTCAACATGCAGGGTCTTGAAGCAGTTTAGCACTAAACTATGACAGATTCCACCCACTGTAAATGCACACGTTGAGAAATGCCCAGGTCAAGGTTGTGAGGGGTTTATTTTTCTGAAGAACAATCGGAATATTTTCCAGATGTGTGAAAGCCTCTGCTTGCTTCAGTTAACAGTGACTATCATTATTTATCCTGTGGTTCATCTGCATCACTTGCCTCTGTTTCGCTGCTCTGGGAGAAATCTTGTGGGGTCTCTACTCTGTCCAGTTCCAGGAAACTCGTGATGAGTTTGGCAACTGCTTCCACATCACTGTGGAAAAGAAGAAACAATGGAAGAGTTAGTGGAACCACAGTGCTGACAAGAGCAGGCATGCTAATTCCTGAGAATAATTGCCTAGAGGGAAAGTCATAAGGGCATAGAGGGTGGCTGACAACATGCCGCACACCAAGCCATTCCCCCAATAAATCAGTCCTTTCCCACTCCCTGCTGCAAGGCTCCTTATCATCAATGCTTAAGATAAATTTTCTGTTAATTAATACACCAAATGTTTGCAAAGTAGAATTAATAATTAGTTCAGGAAGGCAACTCCAGCAGAAATGCTGCACTAAAGGGATCTTAGATATCTAAACATGATCCTGATAAGATGGTGTTAGCCAAATGTCTGCAAATGAAAACATTATGGGGTTTAAAAAGTTAAACTGAGTAACACAAGGTCATAACAGTAAGTCCAAAAACTGAGTTTAGTTATAATGATGCCTTGTGAAGGCTGCCCTAGAACAGAGGCTGGACAGAGCTAAAGAATAAAGCAGCGATTTATTCAAAGGATCTTCTCAATGGATCCACAATGGGCAGCACAAGAGCCCAGCCAAGGCTGCACCCAAAATGAACCAAAATGGTCCCAAAATGGACACGAGGTCTCTCACTTTATAAGTTCTGCTCCATTTGCACAATGGAGTTAATTGTCCAATTCCAGCTTTAGCCCAGGCAGTCCCATCCTGCTTGGTTTTCTCTCTTCAGTGCACGCTGTTTATGCTCTTAGGCCTGAAATTTGTCTCATTTATCCTTCCTCCCCAGCTAGAGAAGGAATTTTGTCTCCCAGCTAGGAATTTGTTTTATCTCCCTACTCTTTGAAAAGAGCTCACCATCCCCTAATATGAAGCTCAGAAGTACACAGTAAAGCAGCACAGAAACCTGAACAATATAAAAGCCAAAACCTGAGGCATCAATAACAGCTGGCAATTATTGACCCTCATGATTGGCATTTCCCACCCTACACGTTCTAATTTTACAAAGTCCCCCCTGCACCTTCTGCAGCCCAGCACTGCACTCTGGGTGAGCGGGTGTGAGAATCCGGTGACGAAGCGCAGCACAACCAGGTAACCCTTCCCGAAATAGCGCACGGCCTCCTCCTCCACGTTCACATCGCGGATCTCGCTCAGCACGGCCACCACTGCAAAGATGGGCAAAACAGGCAGAGTCAGCGTGACTGCAAACCCTCAGCACTGCCACTGCTGACACAGGGACAGGGTGACGGGGACCCTGCTCCTGTGATCCCTCACAGCCAGGGCAGTCCTGCAGCAGCAAACTGGTGCCTTGTGGAGGCTGGCCTAGAGCAGAGGCTGGACAGAGATAAAGAATAAAGCAGGGATTTATTCAAAGGATCTTCTCAATGGATCCACCTTGGGCAGCGCAAGAGCCCAGCCAGGGCTGCACCCAAGATGAACCAAAATGGTCCCAAAATGCACAACTGCTCACTGGGGCTCTCACTTTGATCAGTTCTGCTCCATTTGCACATTGGAGTTCATTGTCCAATTCCAGCTTTAGCCCATCAAGTCCCATCCTTCCCTCTTCAGTCGACATTGTTTATGGTCTTGGGCCTGAAATTTGGATCATTTGTCCTTGGTGCCCAGCTGGAGAAGGAATTGTTTTGTCTCCCTACTCTGTGCAGAGAGCTCACCATTCCCTTATATGAAGCCCAGACCCACACACTAAAGCATCTGAAAAATATAAAAGCTAAAACTTGAGGTATCAAAACAGCTGCTGAGCTGCTCAGGCAAAAGAAACATGTACAGGGTGTGACTGCAGCACACTGTAGTTGGGACAGGCCCTAAGGGAAAAGATACAGCCAGCCAGACACTGGGGAGCAACCCAGTACTACTTCTGTTTCCCATTTGCTTTAATGGTAGTTTTAATTAGTTTTCTGTATGGAATAGGCAAACAGGAGTTCAGTTTACTAAGACTGAACTAATACTGAAACATTTAACTGCTCAGAACACCTGCTGATCTCTGAATCTTCACATGAATGGTACCTAAACCAGATACTATCACGGAGGAAGAGATAACCTCAGCTCTCCATTGTAAACATGTATCCTAAAGGAAAGCTCAGAATCATTAAACAGCCTTCTCTCCACATATTTTATCTTTCATCTCCAAAATGAACTCTTTCAAAACAAATTCAGCTTAAGGTCGCTCCAAATTGGGCCACTCTTCTTAGTTTACTGAGAGCTGATTCTATTAACATCAGGAAGTAGAACAAAAACTCTGCCATGGAGTTTTTGTCTACCTTTGCAACAGAATAAAAGATTCTTTTATCCTAGAAGAATAAACAGAGCTACCAGCTCACCACCATGACTCAACCAACTCACAGACCATACTGCAAATTCTGTTAATCCAACAAGAAGCCCAAAGGCCATCAGATCCTGCATTAAACCAAGCCTCCTGACCAGGCTGCTTTAAATGCATATTCTGTACCTGCAGGATGTAACATGCCTGCTTGCATATGGTATCTAAACCTTTGCCTGCTCCCCAAAGCAGATGAGATTACAGGAATCTCAGCTTCTGGATCAAAAATTGAAGTTTTTCCACCAGTCCCAGCTGCCAAGCAGGCTAGCCAAGGGCAAGGTAAACACATTAACATCCCAAAGGAATGGCTAAGATTATTATGGAAAGCAATGTCTAGGCCTACTTACTTTAGATTAAAATAATTAACCAGATGCATTCAGCACACTGAGAAAAAGCATTTGGGCCCACAGAGGCAGATTATTACATCTGCTTCTTGGGAACAAAGCAGATCTGGAAGCAGATGTGACTTAATTTGAGTACAGAACTCCAGAGAAGCTATTAAATGGGCACACATCCATCTCTTCTGCTGCTCACCACATTTTCTACCACAGATGCTGCTTTCTCACCTTGTTCATTGCCTCCTTTTGACAAGGTCAGTATTTTTTTGTAGAGGTTGAATGTTTTTAGGCAGATTGTTCCTTTGTTCTTATCAAATACAGCTTCCTGTAAGATTGAAAAATAAGAATTAAGATTTTCTTGAAAAGTCCATCACTAGCTATGCTTCAAAGTAAAATAAAAATAGTTCTACTGGAAAATAATCTTGGTAACAGAAAAATATACAGCTAGCTGTGTAAAAATCACAATCTTGCTCTTGGTTTTAACAGAAACTTTGCCATATCTCTTGTGTGACTTCTAGAAGAGAGTTAAAAGTGGGTTCATCGTCCCTCTTGCCACATTCTTCACGTAATAAAAGCTTTGCCTGGAATCAAATTTGAACACTAACTTGTACCTCACATAAGTTTCACTTCAGGTGAATTTGACATTCCAGTGCTGTACTCTATGGGCCAGGCTTACACAGACCTCAATATCCCAATAAAATGGATATTATTGATATGGGACATTAATGAAATTAGATATTTCATATTAATCAATGAAAAGAGGATCTCGTTCTCTTTAGGTGAGTTGCTCATTCTAACACAATTCATGTCAGCAGGGTGACACAGTGCTCTCAATATCCACACGATTCTAACCAGAGGAAAACAGCTCAGCAGTTTGGAAGCTTAGAGCTCCCTTATTTAGTGGTTGCTCTGTCATTAACTTGAAGGCTAACTTCAAAATCATGTGGTGAAGCTGAATGTCCTGGTCATCCTACCTCTTTTATGTAAGAGAACATTTTGGGCCAGGTCTCCCCTTAAAAATGCCCATAAGTTTAGCTTCACATTTTTATGCTTGTGTAATCAAAGAATTATTGCCCTAATTCTAGTCCCAGTATAGCAACCCAGAGGGCTTCCTCAAAACCATAACTTGTCTGGACTGAGCAAGTGTGTGGGGCTGCTGGAATCAGCATCTGCCAACTGCTTCCTACTCACAGACCCTCATTTCCTGAGTTCAGCATCTTACCTCCCACTGCTCCAGATTCTGGGCTGCCACAAAGAAACACCCAGCCATGTAGAAGAGCTTCCATGCCAAGCTGTCTGAACAATGCAAAAAATGCACAAATTCAGCTTTTTTTCCCCCCCCTTCTTTGGTATTCAAACAATCCTGAAAGCAACATGCTCCCTTTAAAAGCAACAAAAGGAGGAAAGGTTTCTCTGATGGAACATTTTTGCCTTTAGTTGTACTACAAGCTATTTTACAGCTCTTTCCCAGGATGAAAATACAGAAAGCCTGCACACTGTTCAGAGTCTTCATTCACACTGGGCTTCAAACCATGCAGAATTATAAGCATATGTATTATTGGCAAGGTTCTAACATCACATCTGTCTCTTCTGTACAAGCAAAGACATCTTAAAAGGCATCCACAAAACTGCCAAGCTGCTGTCAAACACCAAATATTTGTGCTGCAGAGGACAAGGACAGGGATAATGAAAATTCAATAAAGCAAACATGTTTCTGCATAAAAGGAAGCAGTAGGTCCTCTTGACAAACAAACATTTGCATTTCATGTCCTGGAAATGTTTACATGTCACAGCCTGAATAATTTGCTCACTCAGGCTTTTAACTGAAGGCACAGTAGAGCTGTGCTGGGATTTCAGAAAACTTTGTTGCAACGTATTAAGAAAAACAAGGCTGATTTAGCTGGTGGCTCAAGCAGTTTCCACTGCATCTTGCTCTTTAAATAAAAATACGTGGGTTGTATTGGTAGCACATTCCTACACACCATTAAGTTCTAACATTTGATGTTAACAGGATGCAGCACAAGAATCACAGGACAGCTTCCAGGACAAATCCCATGGATGGGAAGACAGCTGGCATTTGGTGCAGTCTGCTGTACTGCAGGGGGAGAAGCAGCTGAAGCTGTCTCATCCCTAAAGGTGCTTGGATGAGTAATCTCTGATAGTGATGATTTGACAGTTTCCAGAGAAACTTCCATCACAGAAAAAGTAATCATTTCATTATGGTGTCAAATAATCATTACCTGTCTTCCCAGGAGAGCTGTGAGGACCAGCTAATCACATTTATAAAACATCGAAAGCACAAAATGCCACAGAGTACCAATATCATTATTAAAAACACTTGCAAATGGAAAAGGAGGCTGAGTAAGAAATAGAGGAATAAAGCACACTAAGTCATAAAGGCAACAATTATTATTGGTTTTAATATTCACACCACAAAGTGGGAGAGGAACTTCCACTGCTTTTGAAGGGCCAGACAGAAGCTGCAGGTGAGTCATCAGCATGAAAAACAGATTAATAGGAAAGAAACCCAAAAAAGCGATAGGCCATTACCTGCACTATAATAAGCAGCAGCCAAACCTATGGAGGCTATTCCTAGGGGGAAAGAGGAGAGAATTATGACAAGTAAGCAGCTCAAAAAACATCTAAAATTCCCTAATGAAAAACATCACTTTGCAAAAACAGGACAAATGTGATTGCAACATAGATCACTATATGAAAGTTATTTTTTTCTCTCAGTATTTAAAAAAAACTTCCATTCTGCAAAAGCATTAAAAGCACAGGGGCTGGGGTCAGAAATGAAAATTTTGTGACATTAACTGGGAACAGAACCTCAGAGGGACTAGATCTAACCATGACACCATACTTACACCACACATACTACTCTTAGCACAGTACAACTTAGAGTGCTCACACAAACCTTACAATGGTTATTTTCCCCTTTAAGTGCTATGTGGAGCCAAAAGACAACTTCTGCAGTAAAGTTGTGTCAGAAACTGGCAGCTCTTTTCTCTCAGGGAGGAGAAAGCAGCTGAAGAGTGCCCCATGCCCCAAAGGCTGCTGCAACTGCAAAGATCTTCTCAACAACATCCCTGAAAGCAATGACAACGTGGTGTTACTGCAGTGGGATCTGCTCAGCCGGAAAGCAGGATAGACCAGATTTTCCCCAGCAGCTCTCTCAGTACAATCCTAACAAGTTGATTTTCCCTGCATATTCAGCAGTGTTTATAAAGATGCCTTTCAGAATATCCTGTAGGACTTCCCATTTCATACAGCATGGCCACACTGCAGTTTTCCACTCCTATAAAAAGATGTTTCTCAACCTAACAGCCCCTTCAGAAGCTTCACATTTCTATTGCTGCATGGCACATAAACCTTCTGTTCCTGATCTTTCAGGAGTCTCTTAAAATTCCATCCATGAGCTTCTGAGGTCCTCCAGATGAGACTGAAAGTCTCACAGCGAAACTGCCATGCTGAGGCTTCAGACTCATTTAGAGGCTATGAGAAAGGAAGAGTTCAAAGCACAATCATTCCTCTTCTGGAAAGGAAAATGCCTGGAAGGCAGGCATTTCACTAGGGGCACTTCAGGAGTTTATTATGACCCTCTTCCCTTAAAGCAAGCTCTGAAATGAATGCTGTGGCCTTACCAACACACAGAGACCAGGATCGGATGCCAGGTGACCTCTTTAGGTGAAGATGGGAATTTGTGCGTTTTTCAACCAACATGTACATCTTCAACAGAAACTCCCAACAGCTCAGTTTGACTCATTAAACCTCACTGGACCAATAAAACAAAAATAAATTAAAAAATTTAAAAAAAAAATTTAAATCATTGACAATTTCACCAGTTTCCCTTCCAGGATTTACCAAGTCTTAATCTAGACTATAAAAGATACTCCAGGGTAAGAACACAGTCTTTTTGGACAGGAAGAGCAATATGTACCCTCAAAACAACCACAAAGTAAAACTGTCATGTTGAGAGTTGCGTAACAACAACAGGAATCTGAACTCTTGGAAGAAAGTTCTCATTTTAGGGGTAAAAGTCCCTTTCTATTGTAATCAGATTCCAGAAGAAAAATGTGAAAAACAAGAACCTGGAACAGCGTTGTTGCTCATTCATGCAGCCCTTCAAACAGATAAAACAGTAAGGGGAATGGAAAGATTCTTTTCCTGTGAACTCAAAGTGTTGTGTGAAGGGCTAGTCTGGGAGCTGGGCAGGACAGCACAGCCTTCTGCAGCTCTGACATGGGATCCCATCCCAGGAAGGGCTACAGCCAAGCACTGCCAGCATCCCATAATGCCACAGATGATGTTCCCATCTTCCAAGACACCTCAAGAATACAACCAAGAGCATATTTGTCTGTCCTCAACAAGACCATGCCTTCAGCCTAGGCAGAAACAGCAGAGACTAAAAAGGTACTAATTAAAACCAGTAAGAGCTGGGTAATCCCGTGCAGCATTTTCAGTACATTTTTACTGTTTTACAGCATAGCATCAAGAGTTATTTAGGGTGAGAAAGACCTTTAAGATCCAACCACGAACCTAGCACTGCCTGGTCCACCACTAAACCATGTCCTTAAGCACCTCACCTACATGTTTTCTGAACACTTCCAGGGATGGTGACTCCACCACTTCTCTGGGCAGCCTGTCCCACAGAACCAGTTTAAGGAGACTGGCATCAAGCTGCTGTTAGCTGCCCATGATAACAGGTTTCCAGAAAATGCCAACCTTCATCAGGTTTTGAATAACCATGAAAACACGAAGAGAGCAGGTCTGAACACATCCAAGTTCTCACAAAAGGCAAATATGTGATTTTAAGTCCTTTAGTTATCCAGCTGCTCTTGGATACAAGAAGATGCTCCTGCAAATCTGGTAGTGTGGACACAAAGCTCCAGGGGAGCAGATTTAGCCAGGTCTTTTCAGTTAAACAAAAAGCACCCGCGACTTTGATTTTAATCTCTTAGCAACACATCTGAGAGCATCTGAAACCGAAAGAGCCAAAAGCACTTAAGCATGAGACAGGCTCCATCTCCTCCGGATGTCAAGCATCAAATTTTAATTTTCAAATGACTCCTTTGAGTTGTTCTCAATATACCGGAAAATACTTCTGCATCTACAATGCCTTCTCCTGCCTGTTATCAAATCCAAGTTATAAAATAAATCAGGATCACTGCAGTAACCTCACTTTATTTAACAAATATTACACCCTACTTAGAACATAATTCTCACAGATATCAGTCAAGTCCATTAATTCAAACTTTGATATCTCCCTCCACAATTATTTAGGGAAGTTCAAGCAGGCAAATGCCAGTTTTGGTTTAATGTTGGACACTCAACATCAGTTCATTGTCTCTTACAGGCTGCTGCTTGCAAGAGATAGACCTTGGAATAAAAAGCACCAAAGCAGCTTCTAAAGTTACATTTAACAAATAAATCATAAACACACCCTAAAGCAAATACTAAAGTTTTACTACAACAATGTTATGATGACAGAGAAAGAGGTGTTTTTGTGCTGCTCTTTAGTTTTATATTACAAAACTCAATTTTGTTTTAATTTGTCAAGTGTGACACTGAACTGTTCTCCAGCATCAAAATAACATTCTCAAGCTTCCTCCAAGCTCTCGGTTGAGAGCAAGCAAAACCCATTGGAAGAACTGAAATTTTCACCCCTTGAAATCTCCACCACCAGCAGCCATCAAGTCAGGACCACACATCAGCTGAATTTTCTTTACAGACCTCATTTTTCTTTACCTCCCAAGCCTGCACCTGCTCCCACCCCAGCCTGCTTCCCCCTCAGACCCTCCCCAGCCAGGGACCGACCCTGCCAAAACCCACCCACGACCCGCGGCTTTTGTCCCCCCGCGCGTGGGGAACCCGAGGCTGCCCTTCACCCTCACCCAGCCCCGCGCCCGCGGTACCTGCCGGGCTCCAGCCGCCTTCCGAAGGGACCGCGGCCGCCTCCGCGCCCCGCGCCCTCAGCGCTGGTCCCGCCTCAGGGACGGACGGGCGCGCCCGCGGCCATCTTGGGTGAGGGCAGAGGATGCGCCCTTCCCCGCCCGTGAGGGCAGCGCCGCGCCAAGA